GAGTGAAAAATCAGCCCATAGATGAAGAACATACATACATACATTTTTATATGTGTTTGAAAAAAATTGCCATATATTCTGTACATCAAAAGAAAAATACAGACCCAATAAAAATGGGCAAAATCCTTGAAGACACACAAAGAGGATATCCAAATGGCCAATAAACACATGAAATGATGTTCATTATTGTTAGTCAGTAGGGGAGTGAAAATTAAAACCACAATGTGATACCATTATACTCCAAACAGAATGACTAAAATTAAAAAGAAGGACAATAGCAAACAAATTTTGGTGAAGTGTAGGTGCAAATTGGTACAACCACCAGTAGAAATTGTTTGGCAGTACTGAATACGTGTATGCTATGACCTAACAACTCCACTCCTAGGTGGACCCAGAAGTGCATACATATGTGTACCAAAGACAATACTAAAATGCTGCTAGTATCTCTCCTTGTAATAGCCCCAAATTAGAAACTACAAACATCCATCTACAGTAGAATGGATAAATAAATCATGGTATACTCACACAATGAAATATTACACAACAATGAAAATGAATGAGCTATGGCTCACACAACAGTTTAGATTAATCTAATAAAAATAATGTTGAGTGAAAGAAGTTGACACAAAAGAATGCATTCTATATGATTCAATTTATTTAAACAATAAAAAGATGAAAAACTAATCTGTGTTATTAGAAGTTGGAGAATGTTAACGACATGGTCTGCAAATTCCATTTTGACTAAAAGGAAAGAACTTCATGGAGAAATGACTGGTTTCAGATCTGGAGCAGAAAATGTTTATCATGAACCTAAAGAGTCTTCTTGTATTTTGAAAGCCAGGAAGCTGCCAAAAATTACTGGGGTCATGTAGCTTTTGATTAGTTAGGATCATTACTGACCGAAGATGGGAAGATTTGAGAAAAAAGAAAAAGCATACTAGTAGCAGTGTCTTAAAGCACATAAAATATGTTTAAATCCATAAGTTTGTAGTTACACTAAAAAAAAAAAACAAACAAACAAGCAAACAAACAAAAACCTCAACAACTAATAATTCACCACTGGAGGATCCTGCTGGACAAAGTCATTATTTTGAAAAATGGTAAATGAAAAGAAAGAATCAAGTATTAATCTTGACTTTCCTTCATGAATTATGCCAAGACATGTCCAAATAGTAGATGAGAGAAGTTAATAAAGACAGAAGCATTAACTAGAACATACTAATGGTTAATTTAAATATACATTACTAATTCTCTATATCACCATTTGTTATCCCTAAGTAATGGATCTAGGGATTGATTAACTCTAGTCACTACAACACACACAAAAAAAGAGAGAACTAGATATTAGATGGCTCCTAATGGAAAATGACAACACCATCTATCAAATAGTTTTACCAAAAAGTACTGAACCCAATCAATTTATGCTTCTAGATCCAACTACCAATTTACAGAAATACGGAGGACAAAGGAATATGTTAAATGCAATCATCAAAGTCCAGTCTGTGTGAAACTTTATAGAATACAAAATCCAATTTCTTCAATAAATAATATGGCAAGGAAAAACAAAAGAGAGAGATTGAGACTGAGAGACAAATAGAGAGGGAGGGATGGAGAGAAAGAGAAAAGTAGAATCTATAAATTAAAAGATTTATAAGCCAGATAGCCAATTCTAATGTGTGTATTTTATTTGGATTTTGATTTAAAAACAAACTTTAAAAAAGCTGAATATTAGAAATATTGGAAACATAAAGCACTGACTAGATATTTTATGACACTAAAAATTATTGATAATTTTAAGTGATAATGATATTGTGGTTATGTTTTTAAAATGTCTATATCTTTCAGAAATAGATACTACAATTTTATTGATAAATTGACCAATGACTGGAATTTGCTTCAAAATAATATATGTAGGGGAAGTGTGGATGGAAGTATAGTAGATAAAACAGGATTGGCATGAGTCAATAACTCTGAAAGCTAGGTAGTGGATACACGAGGGCTGATTGCTACTCTTCTACCTCGTCTTACATATGTTTGAAAATTTTCACAATAAAAAAATAAAAACATCCATTAACAAGCTTGTTTTTAACAGTTTCAAGTTATTTCTTTTCTTCTTGAAATCCATTTCACTTGCTTATCAGTATTTTATCTTGATGTAATAGAGATCAATAGAAAGCATTTTACTGATCACCTATTTGCAACTGAAATAAGTATATAAAGGTAGATTTTTAATTAAAAATTTTTTCTGCAGTAATATGGCTCTAAGTGTTAAAATTGCTTCTGGGTTTAATATTTATAATTATTAATAATATACAATTGATTAAAATTAAAAAATAAACATGTCAAATGTTGATAAATAATTATCAAAGATGACAATAAAGTTTTATTTAAATTCTCCTTTTAATGTGATGAGGAAAGTTTATGGAGATGTGATTAAGAGAGGAATAGTGTTTAAAACTATTCTTTTGTTTGCTAAGGTAGACAAATACATACAATGCAATTAGGATCCAACTTGAAGATTGAAGTTTGAAGTCTAGCCATAAATCTAAGAAAGAAAATTTTCAGAAAAAAATCCTCAGACTAGTTTGTATTTTTTAAAATTTATTTTTTTCTGCCTTCCTTCCTTCCTTCCTTCCTCCTTCCCTCCCTCCCTCTCTCTGTCTCTCTCTCTTTCTTGTTTTTCTGGAATTAAGCAGATAGGAGAGAAGTAGAAAATTGGATCGGATAGGAGAAAAGGGAATGATAGATAACCTTAACCCTGACTAAAGGACATGCATGGATCTGGGAACACCCTTGACCACCATGTTGATTAGGGTCTGGATTTGAATTAGATATTATAAAACCTTCAGGCTGTACTTCCTTATAGAACTGCTCCTGACAAAAAAGCCACCAGATTCTAAAGTGAGTCAAAGTTGCCAAGTCCTTGGAGTTAGTTGGAAGGCTCACTGGATGATCCAGAATCAGCCAGAACTGCCTGGAGAATCTTTAAGATAATGAAATTTGGAATGGGAACAGCTATGGATCTCCTATGACCGTTTGGTCCAAATTTAGCACTGTAGGTGGCCTCAGAAGCCAATTTAAATTAGAACATGACAGATTGATTTAGTGCCCAGGCCATATAAATAAAATCTGTAAAGAAAGAGGAAGAAAATTAGGACTTGAAAATAATTGATAATTTTCACCATATCTCAGGATGCTTAAAAATTACTAGAAATCATGGCTACATTGAAAAGTATATGATTTTCCTTAGAAAAAATAAAATGAAATGAGACATTTACCTAAATAAAGGCCATTCTTAGTGTTTTAGACTTACATAAAATATAAAAATTATTACTAAAAATATTTCAATGTGGCAGGTTCAATATTTCACATAAAATTCAGATACAGTCATTTCCAAGTGTGGCAGCAGGAGTTAGAAAAGATAAACCAAGACATAAAGCTAAGGTTACTTCATGGTATAATACTTCAGGATCTAAATTTATGCTCAATTTCAAAGTCTTAGATCACCAAAATCTCCAAATATCAATTTAAGGAGACACTTTCATCCAACCATTCATAATCTTTAAGACTACCAACTAATATTTGAGACAAGTAAAATAAGCAAACCACTATAATACAGGAAGAAGAAAATGGCAGATTCACATAGTGAGGAACAGATCTCTATTTTTTAAAATCAATTATGAGATATTTGTAAATTAAGCCTAAGTATATTTTCCCCCAAATTCCTCCTACTTGGTAAATTGCAAATGCAATTAGTACAAATGCATTCAGATTGACTTAAAGTAAATGAATGTCAAAAATAAGCAGATGACTAATAATTTTATTACTGTTTAGTTCTTCTGAAACTCAAAGGCATTTTTAATTACCAAAGTGAAATGGTCCATTATGTTACAAAAAGCTTTCAAGGGAGACCATTTCAAAATATAAAACATACTTGTTTTGAAAATATTTCTGACTTTCAAAAATGCTCCAGGAAATTAGAAAATTATGTCAGTACTCATAACATATTAACAATATTAGTCCTTAAACTTTAAAAAATGCTTTGCCGGCACAAATTCATTAGAAAAGAAATAAGAATTAATGTTGTGAAAGAACAACATAGATTATAAAGCAATTTCCAGCCCTGGAAATGTTCTTGTGCTATATGAAGATAATTGTGGAAATGGTTGGGTCTCACTAATCTCCTGAAAAAGACCTCAGAAATTGCTCCTCCAAGGGGTCAGAATCCCATTATTCACTTCAAACAAGATTAAAGGATATGCAATCCCTTTGAATTATATGATTGTCCACAAATATAAGGTACTATTATTGTTAGTACTAGAAGTTGAATTATCATACAATCTTACAATTTCAAATTACTGCAAGGGCAAAGATGGACTATGCAGAGATGCAAGAAGGAAACAAGAGTTAGAGTGGACTAAAATAAGATGAATTAATTATCAGGTGAATTGGAGATATCAAAATGTAGAATGTGCAATTCAGAGTGCTGAAGATGAGAACTATTCACTGCGGATCCTCGACTGCACTGTTTATAAATCATGGCCAAATTGCTCCTAAATGATTTTACTCACATTTTGGAATCAGCCCGGACCTAGAGCAGCCCTAGGGAAAGGAGCAGATTGGAGTTATTTCTTGGGATTTGGACCCAGAGATGTCTAAAGTGCCCTCAAGGGCCACTAATAGAAGGTGATTGGGCTTCTCCGTGTAAGTATGGTTGCCAAGCAACAAATGTAAAAGAGCTAAGGAAGGACCCAGAAGAGGGCAGCTGCTCAGTTGGAAGCTTCAAATTCTTTCTTTCCTACATCATAATATAGTAGTTCCTTTTATCCATGGGGGAATATGTTCCAAGACCTTCACTGAATGCCTGAAACCACAGACAGTATATATAGACTATGTTTTCTACTATTCATACATACCTCTGATAAATTTTAATTTATAAATTAGGCACAATAAGAGGTAACAATATCTGATAATAAAATAGAACAATTATAACAACATACCATGATAAAGGTTATGTGAATGTGGTCTTTCTTCTTCTCTCTAAATATCTTATTGTACTGTTCCATGTGTAACAAAAACCCCAGACAAGTGGGGACTACTGTACTCCTTCCATCTTTCCTTATCCGTGCTTGTTTCCAGGTATGTGATTGGCATGGTTTTTGTCCTCTGCCATTCTGTTTACTGACACACTTCTTTGCCTCATCAAGGCCACTCCCTTCCCCCACCAACTCCTCTTCCAAAACACAAGCTCCTGCACTTGAACACTGCCTGCTTCCTCCTGCCAGAAAGAAAAGCAATGCATTCAGAGCAGTAGCTCCACGGTGACCTTTTATGTTTTTATGCCTTTTATGACGTATGGTAAACAGTTTATCTTTGACCTTTGAAAGATATCCTTTGTGATGCATTGCACTGCCTGCCATATTGGACCATTTAAAACATACTGTTTTCTATGGGAGAACCAGTTACTTAAGCAAAAGGCATTTTTCTGGATTTACCATCACCTGGAATAACCATTTATTATTAAAACAATGACCTTTTAGAAAGTGTAGTATCTATCTCTGTCATATTGTTTTAGCACTCCCAAGCTCTGTGACCTTGGGCAACTTAACTTCCCTAAACCTTGGTTTCTCATCTGGAAAATTCAGACATTACCAGCCCCTGTGCCATAGAGTTGTGGAGATCCAGTGAAATAATCCCTATAAAGCTCTTAGCACTCTCCTGGCACAAACTAAGGGAAACCTTAGCAGCTGCTGATGCTGCTGTTGTTGCTATTGTTGATTTTCTTGTTATTATGATTATACATACAATAGACATGTTTTTCATTGTTCCTGGGCTCTAGTTAGCCCAATTTTCACAGTTATCATCTCACGCATATATGGAAAATAATCCAAATGTTAAAAATATATAAAGTGGCTGGCCATGGTGACTCATGCCTGTAATCCTAGTACTCTGGGAGGCTGAGGCAGGAGAAATGCTTGAACTCAGGAGTTGGAGACCAGCCTGAGCAAGAGCGAAACTCCATCTCTACTAAAAATAGAAAAATCAGCCTGGCTCAGTGGCACAGGCCCGTAGTTCCAGTTACTCAGGAGGCTGAGGCAGGAGGATCGCTTGAGCACAGAGGCTTGAGGTTGCAGTGAGCTATGATGATGTCACTGCACTCCAGCCTGGGCAACAGAGTGAAATTCTGCCTTAAAAAAAAAATATATATATATATATACATAAAATATTTATATATTTATATATAAAAAGTGTGTGTATATATATATACATATATATAAAAAGTTACTTTGGCTATATGTGTTATAGATAAAGGGAGACATTAGTATATTTCAAGTAGTCCATGAAAAGGAAAGAAAGGAGTAAATTTTCAGAATGTTGACATAAGGTAAAGGGAGTGAAATTCCTAAGACCCTGGGCTAGGGGCAGGGGCATGCTGTGAGAGGTCTGCTGAAATGCTGGTGCACTAACATCACTAGAATGCTTTTACGTGGGGACTTTCTCAATACTTCCTTGCTCAAAAGTATTAATCTTGATCTGTTGCAATGTCCTTACCCTTTTTAATACTCAAGATCCATCTTCCTCTCAATGAATTGCTTGGCTTGTCCCACCACAGCCATGTTCCTCAATTTTGCTTTCTATTTTCATCATCATCCACAAACTTACTTCTTCAAGTTTATACTTACAATATGGTGTGTTATTTACCTGACACTCACTCCTTCATCTTTTTTACGGCCCATCACTCTACTGAAAATATTCTCTTCATGACTTCTCTCTCAGCTATGTCCTTGTATTGTGAGAGCCAAAAATCTGTTCTCAGTTCCAGTCTTGCAGGATAGCTTCAAAGTGACCCCCCAACTTGATCCACTACTTAGTGATACCATTCTTCCTTGGCTTCTATGATACTGCCCCCTCCTGGTTCTTTTATGTCTCTGTGTTCACTCCTCCTCCTCTTCCCTAGCTCCTCTTCCTCTGCCCAAGCCCCTCTTTCTGTGTCCACCCCTCATATGTTGGCATTCCCTAAGGCTTTTAGTCCTCTTCTTTCTCATCACCCCCTCCTATAACTACAGTTATCTCTATTTCGAAGACCCAAACTATCAAATTTCTATCTCCGTCACCACAATTCCAGAGCTGCCTCTCGACAGCCACCATAGAGGTCTGCTGTGCTCCACACTTGAGGGTCCTTCCTTGTAGATTTGCTTCTCCTTGGAGCTTTATTTCTTCATTCATGGCACCTCCATTAACCCTACCCTTCTAATGTAGAAATCTCAATGTCATCTTTGATTTGTATTTGAGTCCCAATCTCACATAAAATCAACTACCAAATCAATTACTTCTATGCCCGCAATGTCTCATTTCCAATATATGGCTCTTCATGCCTCAAAAAATTTCAAGGGATCCCAGTTGCCACTAGAGAATAGAATGAAAATTCTTTAGAATGAGATCAAAAGATTACCACTACTAGGCAACAATCTTTTGGACTTCAATCTCTTCCTTCATGAAGTCTTTGCTTTTTCTTCTACTAGCCATTTCCTGATAACACAAACACTTCCAAGCTTTTGAATCTTTGCTCATGATATCATCTCAAACTGGAATATTCTTGCCTTTTTTCCATCTACTGAAATCCTATCTTATCTTTCAAGTTCAAATACCACCTTTTCTCTATAGCTTTTTTTGATACTCACAGAAAAATCCCTCTTTATACTGTGATCATTTAACACTTATTTAAAACATTTAGGTCATGTTTACTTAACCTGTTCTCTACCTGGATTTCAGACTCATATTTAATTATCCAATAATCATCTCCATTGTGTTATCTCTTCAGCCCCTCAAATTCAAGACACTCAACTTGAACACATCCCTGCTGACTGGACTTGGCCTTCCCACTGTGCACCCAATCACAGAGAATGCTAAGTGTCAGCCTCGATTCTTCCATCTCCTTCTAATCTTGCACCTGCCTAAACAATTCTGCCTTCTAAATATCGTTCTAATATATTCACATCTCACCCTCCATTATGAACAAATAGTTCAAACCAGCCTATTTTATTGTTAGTTTCCTTCCTCTGATTAATCATTTGGTTAGAATTGCTAATAAAAAAATGACCAAATCTCAGTTTAGAAAAATAAACATCAAGTTGTATAATCCATATGTAAGTCATTAGCCTTTAATAGTTTTCTCTTTGCTTTAAACTTCCATAAGGGAATTCACTATAATAAAGTCTTTGGGGAGTTATAGCTTGGTAAACCAAACTAAAAATTCATTTAGTGGTTCAGTATTCAGACATTTTTATAATCTACATATTTATAATAATAAATAATCTACATATTTATGATAAGCCATCATATTATTGTTCATTTTCTTTCTCTGACCAATTATTAATAAATGATTTAGAGAAGTTAAATGTTACTTGTATGTATTCCAACTAAGAAAAAACAGAATACAGACATCTAAAGATAATTTACCTATTAAAACTTTCCTTTACACTTTCTTTAATGTATTTAATTTAGAGTTTGGTTGAAAGTATGAAGTAATTTACTTATTCCACTTCTTCTAGGGCCAAAATTGAATGTGCTGATTTTTTTAATCTGAACAAGGGTGCTTTTGCATTTAAAAAGCTCAGGAAACAGCCATGGGTCATGAGGCTAATCACTTCCACTTACTTTCTTTTCTTCTTTCTGCCCATTTTGCTAGTTCTCATTATTTGCACAAGGACTCTCAGAGAATTATCAGACCAGAAATGTAACCTATTGTATTTCTCCTTCTTTAGGGAGTAAAAATCATCTTTGAGGTCATTCTGAAAATTGAAACATTGATGAAAAGAAAAAAAATCAAATGAATCAATAATCTTGAGCTTAAGGAAGAACTTTGTGTTAAGAAAGGAATGGACATGACATAAAGTAACAATATTGCTCATTAAATAAACTATTTTAAACTTTCAAATAACTTTTATATAATTATGAACATAATTTCCTCTGATATCATTGTAAATTGACTTTAATGACAATAGTTCACAATCTTATTTCAAAAGTCTGCTTTTGTTTTAAGGAATTCCACATGCTTATTTTGCTCTGGGGAAATTCATTTGAAATTGTACATTGAAGGATGATAGTAGGTATTTACTATACTATCTGGCCATGTGACATGCTTATGACATGACACAGGTTTCACCAGTGGCAGATGGGTAGCCTGTTTGTAGTAAAGATTAAAATGCAAGTTCTGTGCTGGGCTCAACTGATGAACGGGGACCAGATCTTGGGAAAATGCCCCCCCCCACACACTTATCACCATTAAGCATATAACATATTCTACTTGTTTTGTGTATTATTTTCTCACCTGAATAGTCTAAGTTCTAGGAAGGCAGAGGTTTTGCTTTTACCTTTGTATCCCCAGCCCTTAGAATGATACCTTGCATTTAGTCTGTCTCCCATAAAGATTTGATTTGAATGAATGAACCAACACTTGGAAGACACAGTGTATGTGAAAAGGACTTAAAACCATCAGCATTTAAGGCCCTCCTACTCTACCTCCTCCTTCGTGCATCAGCTTTCACAGTTTTTGACACATTGCATTGGGTCATTGTTTACTATCAATGAGAAGATTGCTGAAGATAGAGAGCAGTGGTCAACAGGACTGGGATTGGGATTATAACCACAATGCAACTACACAGAGGCTTGAGCAAGATAGCTTTTTTGTTGAAATTTTTGTTTTGCTTTGTTTTCCTATAGCTAGCAAAATAAGAGTGATCAGTTGGCCATTTAGGACAATTGCCAACAGGGAGTTTATATGATACACTCTATAGAGGTCACTATGTCAGGTTATTCTTTGCTGCTGCACCAAAAAAAGAAATAACTAGCCCAAACTGTTTAAACTCAGTAGGAAACATTAAAAAAATGCACCCCAAAAGGACTCTACTTAGGGTTCCCACGACAAATCTTCCAAAATCAACAGTGCGGTCTATCTGAATGTTATCAAACCCCACTAGCCATGCATTCCCATGACATGACTCAGTGACTATTTCCTGCCTACACTTCCGTTAGCTCTGGGCCTCACTGTGAGTTTGGCTGTCAAGCATAGCAATGCCAGATACGTATAGCTCAGCTACAAGGAGACCATACAAATTGGACAGAGACTATACAACATGTGAGAATAAAATCAGAAACCAATTTACTTTACAATTTCATCTATTTTTATAGTTGAACCTGTCAATTAAAAAACTATTCAGAACTCTATCACATTAGGTTTTCTTTAACATCACCTAAAACTTTGGAAATTTCAAAAAATTACTTGTCTTTTATATTAAAGACTTGTTAAGAAAATGCTAATTTATCAAATAATATGAGCTCCTCTATACATGGTACTATTTGAGAAACCCTCAAAGATAATGGTAAACATTTACACAGGACAACATGACCTAAAGCTAAAGGATAGAAAAGCTTGAACCCTTTCTTCACGGGGATCACTTACTTTCTTATTAGTCTTGACTAAAATATTTAAATATTTATATCTCAGATTTCCCATCTTCTAAACAGGATAGAAATACTTGTCATGAAGATATTCCCTTTGAAGAAAGCTGGTAGAAAAGAGAGGGATGTTGTAAATAGTTGTGAATTGTTTTTGTACTAATATCTGTTTTCTACCCTTCTCTTAGAATGGATGATTTAAATCAGGTTTCATCTTGGGCTAATTAGCTTTCTACATTTAATATAATTTACTTTTTATTCCAGACAAGGATAAATGTCTTTGAAACAAGTTGTAAAATAAGAAATTACAATAGCATAGTAAGTACACTTGCACTTAGAGTGCTTCATTATTATTGTTACTATTATAATTATCATTATTACAATTGTTTTTACTTAGAATAATTGGTCAGTTTCCAATAATATCCCCATGGCAAAAATTTCCTCATAATCTCATTTTTAATATACAAATCTCTCTCTAACTCATCATCCAACTTGAGTATGCAATTTCTCTTCTTCTTATAATATATAATATATATTATATATACCTTATAATATATAATATTAAAACAGTGACACATATAATGAATGCTTTTAAATTTCACAATGATGAGGATACATATTCACCGCTATTTTTAAATAAAGAAGAAATTTAAGCTGTTTTGTCTCAATGGCAAATGACAAATTTCAAATTCTATGAGAGCCTTAATTTTTAAAAAATCTTTATATCATTTCAGGATAAATTTTGGTTGTGCGGTAAGCTACTCTCTGTTTTGTTGCTATTATCCTACAAGTATCATTTTTCTCAACTGAATCCTAAATGTATAAGAAACAGATGTTTTGTAAGGGAAATCTGGTTTGGCTTATTTTCACACCAGACTTCCTTTGTGGTTATTCTTTATGGTCAGAAAAATAGATCTTGGCTATCCTTACAAATCTTGAGAAGAACAAAAGACAGGCTTAGCTTAATGAGAATGATCTCAAATGAGTCTCATCATATTCTGAGACCTTTACATTTCCAAAATCATTAATTTAATTACCGTCCTGAAAAAACAATTAGTGTGCTCCTTCATGCTCAGATGTATGTTGTTAATATTATGTGCTAAATACTAAGATATAACCAAAAACATACAGCCTACTTCCTTTCCACAAAGACTAAATGTGCAGTTTGTTAGTTTGTTCTTTAAATAACATGAGTCATCTTAAGTACTGCTTACAACAGAGGTCACCAACCTATGATGAGTTGTATAATTATTTCATTATATATTACAATGTAATAATAATAGAAGTAAAATGCACAATAAATATAATGCATTTGAATCATCCTGAAACCTTCCCCCCACCCTGTGGTGTGTGGAAAAATTGTCTTCCATGGAAAGTGGTCCCTGGTGTCAAAAAGGTTGGGGACCGCTGGCCTGCAAGACTATTCTCAGCCTGAAATTTCATTTCCTCTGTCAGCAAACAGAGTTGAATCTATTATCATGTCAACCTTTGGCAGTCTCCATCTTGCTAAATATGAGAGAAAGGTTTTCTGAGATCATAAAAATATTTAGTAAACAGGCCATAGTACAAATCTTTAGTTCTAAGTCACAGTGAAACCACTCCTATTTATCTTGACATCAGTCTTGTTATCATGCCTTTTTGATATGAAAACAAGTTTATTTGGTGGCCAAATTAGCCAATTTATATATTTTACCTACTAGCTGCTTTAAAGATCATTATTAGTCTTTCCCCTTTATTTAGAGCTAATTACCATAGTTTCAACATCCATCAAGTGCCCAGTATGCCAAATACCACTGTGACTTTTCACAGGTCTAGTGAGTCCTACTCACTGTGGAAAGGACAAAGTTTGGTGAAGATGGAGTTGAATGTATGAGGGTTTCCTCAAGTGTATAACTCTTAGAATTCTGAAATGATAAATGATTTGATGATGTGTGGTTACTTTGGTGGTTCTAGTATCTTACTTTAGTACCATGGGAATTGAAAAGTATCCATATACAATTATCTGTAATGTGAAATGATGAGTCCTTTCATTGTGTGCATCAATGACAACCAAATTTTTACTGGCATAATATAATACAAGACATTAACATAGCATAGTGGCTAATAAAAATGAGCAGTGGCACCAATAGACTGAGTTCAGGAAGACCAATTAGAAGCCACTGATACTTCCACATATTTGAACTAAAGTTTTAAAAGCATCTAGTCCTTTGTAAATGAAGAAAAATAACACATTTACTCTGAAGTCTTAAGCCAACATAAAATATTTACAAGCACAGCATGATAGCTGATAAGTTTCAATTGTTGTGGGAATTTGGAATTCTCCTCTGCTAAGTTTGTAGTCTGGATTGAAGTATTATCCCAATGTTGGTGAAAAGGTTTTAATGAAAATGATACCACTGAGAGTTAAATAGATGAAAATTCAAATTTCTGAGATTTTTAGAACCCTTTTATTTTCAGAAAATTGCTAAGGTAATGAATTGTGCATTTTTAAATGTTTGCATTTTTGTAATAGCCAAGAGATAAGGTAAATGCAATGCTTCAGAAATACTAATTAACTGAGAGAGGAACCTTGAAAAATATCAAATTCTTCCAACTCCAACTAAATTATTTTGAGCACACTGAAGTTTAAATTCTAGCACATGAGGGAACCTCAGAAACTATTTAATCTGATACATATTTTTATTGATGACAAAACCAAGGCTGAGAGAAGTTAAGTGTTTTTTAATTAGTATATTAGTCAACTTGGGCTGCCGTGACAAAATACCATAAACTGGATGGTTAAACAACAGAAATTTATTTCTTACAGTTCCAGAGTCTGGAAAATTCAAGATCAAGGTGTCACTACAGTGCAAGCCCTGTCCAGTGCAGAAGACAGCTTTGTTGCTGTATTCTCACATGGCAGAGAGAAAAGGAGCTCCCTCTCTTCTTCTTATAAGGACACTAATCTCATCGTGACCTAATTACCTCATCTAAACCTAATCACCCTCCAAAGGCCCCACCTCCAAATACCATCACATTGGATGTTAGGGCTTCAACACAGAATGTAGATTTGAGGGAGAGGTGGGGAGATAAACATGCAGTCAACAAGAATGAATTTACAAAATTTTAGAGTGAAAGTAAGGACAAGAACCCAGGCCTCTTGAAACCCTGGCCAGCCATCTTTTCAGACCAAATCACCAGTTGATTTCTATTTACATTATTTAACTTTTAAAATTACTTGTACAATTTAAAAAAACAGTTGAAATAAAGCTCAGGATTAGAAAACAACCAAATAAGGGAAATGAGATAGACAATTTCCAGCTATATATATATATATATATATATATATGCACACACACATACACATATATATGTACATATATGTAGTATGTATACATACACACACATAATATGTATATACACAAACACAACAGTATATATAGTATATATATACTATATATCACATATACAACAGTATATATAGGTACATGTATAAAAATTTGTCCATGCCATCTAGCGTCTATCTCATATTATTTAGCTATGTGCCTTTTTAATAATTAGCTTTGGTATACTTGAACAGAATATATCAGAGATGTTCAATGAAAAAAATTTTCTTTCTGCTAAATAAATCCATTCTGAGGTCTCTTTGGTTTGTTCTTTCTTCAGACACAATCGAGTGCTTGATGAAATCCTTTCTGCCTCAGACTATGATGACTTCTAACATTTTGTTTATATATTTAGCAGTAAAAGGAATCAAGAGCTGCCAAGTATTATTAAAGCAGAATCGATGACAGCAGGAATTCTATCATGAGGACAGCATCATTTAGGAAGTTAAGCAGTGAGATAGAAAATTCTAACCATGAATCAATTTTCTAACTCTTCATGATATGGAGACATTGATTCTCTTTATGTTTTTAAATTTATACAATGAGGATAACAAATTTGTTTTAAGGATTACAAAATAATGCTTCAATATGCGTATTATAATTATAGGATGCTTCCTCTTTAAGGGAAAACAGTATTAACTATTAGGAAAAAATGTGTGATTTAAAAAAAAAAAAAACCTGAAAAAAATAATCAAAAAACTCCCACCACATCATCCTTTTTTTCCTCCACTCACCTTAATTCCCTTCCAAATTGTCCATGTATTCTTATAAAAAATAAATTATATCATAAAGATGGCAACTAGAGTTGTTCTATTTGAGACATTACTTTTAATAGAAAGTTCCTACTTATGCCAAAAAGTCCTTCAGTTACAGCCTCATATTACTCTGCCTCAACAAAAGCCTGAAAGCCTGCTCCCCACGTGTGGCTCAGGGCAGCGTGGGTGTTGCGTGAGAGTGGAACGGAGGAAGACACCACTGCCCTCCTAAGACAGTATACAGTCCAGTGCTTGTTGCTCTTGCAAGTAATGGCTGGGAATATTAAGGGATGGAAGAGAAAAAATGAATAGTTATTGTGTGTCCTGTATGTGGCCAGCAAAGCATTAAGTTTCACATTTATTATACCATTATATCATTCTTAGAAAATGTCCTAAATATTCTAAAATTGAGGAAACTAAGGCTTAGAGAGGTTAAAACTCCAAGATCAATTTGTTGGTAAATGTCATGGCTGGAATCCAACCTTAGGTTTCTCTACTCCTAAAAAATACTTAAGTATATAATTCAATAAATAATTTAAAATTATTATAGAATTATATCACAATTTTTAAAGAGAAGTTATACAAATATGAAATTTCATATATAGTAAGAGAAAATTAAATATTATAACCCATAAAAACTATACATGGTTTTGTGTAAACATAAAAAATAATACCCAAACAATAATAATAATAATCCTTTAAAATTAAATAATAATCCTTTAAAATTATTCTTAAACAACAAAACATCCTAAAAGAAAGAGAGTTTTTAAATTTGTCTGGTAAAGAAGCTGTAGAAGATCAATATTTTCTGACTTAACTGTATCTTCTGTTAAATTGATGTTCCTCCCCCCCCAACTCTCATAGAAAATTTAGAACAGAGTATTTCAAAGTCTAGTTTGACATGTATTATTACAATAGTAAAAATGAGAGATAAAAATTAGTGGACAAGCAAAAATAGAAGCTCATGCTTATAGCTTTTTTTTTTTTATGGTGGGTCCCCCCCCAAAATGTATTTCAATTCTAACAAGATATAGCTGTGCTTCTCAAGGGGTACTTTGCAGATTCCAGGGGGACTCTGAGGCCCTTTCAGGGGGCAGGAGTTTGTAAGGTTGTGAGGTCAAACTTATTTGACCTCAGTTGTAAGGTCAAACTTATTTTCTTTATGCTACTGAGATATGATTTTCCTTTTTCGCTATGTTGGTATATTTAATCATGGCACAAAAGCAATGATGGGTGAAACTGTTGGTATCATGTAGCACAAGTCAAAGCAGTGCCTCCAAATTGTACCCATAATCATTGTACTCTTCACTGACATGTACTCACAGGGCAAAACAAAGTGCAAGTGTTACTTAAGAATGTTCTTGATGAACCAGTAAAAAATTACTTTTGTAAATCATAACCCTCAAGTGCATATATTTTTAATATTCTGTATGACAACATAGGAAGTAAGCATAAAGCACTTTCATTGCAAAGAAAAGTGTTTGAGGAAAAGCACGTGATTGAGTTGCAAGCTGAATCAGATGCTATTTTCATGGAAGACCATTTTTACTTGAATGAACAAGTGACAGACAAACTATACTTACTCAGACGTGGGTATTTGGCAGACATTTTCTCAAAAATTAACAAGAGAGCCTGCCACTCAAAGGAAAACTGACAATATTTGTTGCCAACGATAAAATTCCAGCTTTCAAGAATTTTGGAAAACTTGTATCCACTACTATGAGCTTGATGGCTTCCAAATACTTAGAGACTTTTTTGAGAATGGTGATAATGTAAATGAATGTGATTTTTTTTTGACATTATATGAAATATAATGAAATGCATCAACATTTGGAAGATCTGCATAACTCAGTGAACCAAAATTTTCTAAATAACCAAAGCAAGCTGTTACAAAATCATGCATAGGTAAAAGATACATTCAAAGTGCAGATCTGACCAATGGATTTGAATGTAATAGAATATGAAAAGCTCATTCATATGGCTTCAGATTCTACATATGAAGAAATTACCAGTCATTGAGTTTTGGTGTAGTATAAAAGAAGAATGCACACAATTATCTTAAAAGACTCTTAAAATACTTCTCCTTTTTCTAACTACATAACAGTGAGGCCAGATTTTCTTCCACCAAAACAAGTAATGAACTGAAACAGAAGCAGATATGAAAATTCAGTTGCTGTCTATTAAGTCAAAGAGTAAACAAATGTTCAAAACTGTAAAAAATAGTAGCAAAGCAGCCAGTTTATAAAAAAATGTAAAAATCTTCTCATTAAATTTCTTTTTGTTTTGGAAAATATAGTAATGTTTCATCAAAATATTCTAATTATGTTAACATGTGGGTTTATTATTTTTTAATAAACTTATGAAAATAATTCTAAAATTTCTAATTCAATGTCTAATACGGTAAACATCAATAGCTATAACACACATAAACAATAGCTCTTTGGGGTCCTTACTAATGTTTAAGAGTTAAAGAGATCCTGAGGCCAAAATGTTTGAGAACCACTGTGCTATAGAAATAATATATGTTCAATGATTATAGTTGACCCCAGAATAATGCAGAGGTTAGAGGTGCTGACCCCCTGCACAGTCAAAAATTCAAGTATAGCTTTTGACTCCCCCAAAACTTAATTACTAATAGCTCACTGTTGACTGAAAGCCTTACCAATAACATAAACAGTTGATAAATACATATTTTATATGTTATATGTATATATACTGTATTTGTACAGTAAAGATAAAGAAAATATTAATAAAATCGCAAGCAAGAGAAAATATATTTACTACTAATTAAGTGGAAGTGGATCATCACGAAAGTCTTCATCCTCATTGTCTTCATGTTGAGTGGGATGAGGAGGAGTAGGGAGAAGAAGAAGGGTTGTTCTTGCTGTCTCAGAGCAGGCAGAGAGACGAAAATCCACACCTAAGTGGAGTTAGGTGCAGTTCATGCAGTTCAAACCTGTGTTGTTCAACAATAAGCTATATATAATGGTATATAACTAACAATAAATTGTGTTTAGGTATCTGCCTTTCTATCTTTAAAGTGGCTTAGTCAATGTAAGGGACACAGACTTTTTGATTCAGCATTCCTTCAAGAAAACCATTCCCCTACCATCTTCAGTCTAAGTGGCCAATCCTACTCCCTGGATCCACAGGAGGTCAACATGTGTTGCAGACACTGCTAATTAGAGTACTACATCCCCTGGGAAATGGACAGGTGACCATTTAAACATTTATGAGCTGAATTTCTATTACTTACATTGAAGTGAACCCTAACTAATATAGTATTTGATACCTGGAAGTGGATTACTGCAAATAATAGACCTTAAAATGTGATATTGGTTGAGCTAAGGTGAGGTGGAGGATTCCCCCATTGCAGTCTAGAAAAAAGGCAAAAGCTATTATTTGATAGCAGAGCAGCTAGTGAAAAGATGCTTAATGTATAATAGAAGTCAAATCATATATAGGCACACGTTACTTAATGATGGGGATAAGTTCTGAGAAATGTGTTGTTGGGCAATTTTGTCATTATGTAAACATGACAGAGTGTGCTTACACAAACCTAGATGGGATACCATACTACTTATAAGGGTATATGGGATAGCCTATTGTTCCTCGGCTACAAAGCTGTACTGCATGTGACTGTACTAAATACTGTAGGCAACTGTAACACAGTGGTGAGTTTTTGTGTATCTAAACATATCTAAACATAGACAAGGCAAAGTAAAAATACAGTACTATAAACTCATGGGACTATTGCCATATATATAGGCCACTGTTGACCAAAACATCATTATTCAGTACATGACTGTAAATATCAAGGATAGAGTTTTAAGGAATCTGGGGGAAAAGTATCAGATTCTTGAAGCTTCATCTGGCAATTCTGGAAGAAGAGAGGAAAGGGGTCTAAGAATCGTCCTTTCTGCCTGTGCCAGGCACTCTGCAATGGCCAACAGCATATAACCTTATGCCTCTGGGATGGCAGATGTGTAAATCTCTGCCCCATGCTAAGTCAGTAGAGCAAGAAACAAAAAGGGAAGAGATTGGGATCCTGGTGAACCAGGGACCTGAGGGACCATTTCCAACACTTGCTGCTCTACATTCCCTGACTAGCAAAGAGAACAGGACACCTGCTCTGCAGAAGCCACCCCCAGGAGTGCAATCACCCAGGGGTTAGGATCTGTGAGATTTCAACCCATTGTCTCCCAGTTCGAGGTCCAGATGGCGAGGGCGAGGGGCAGAGCATGGAGGCCGATTGCTAAGAGGGCCAATCACTGAGGGCTGGAGGAAGGCTGATGGGCTATGATTCCACAGAGCTCTGGCTTTGTTACCATTGCAGGGAGTATCCATGAAATAAACAGACCAACAGCCAACAGGTCTGTCAGGAGAGGCTGTGGCATGGCTAGAGAAATGCCAAGGATCACTGGACAGACCTTAGGATGCCCAACTTATAAGACACATTTCAACTCCCAAACCCACTGCTACAGGAACTAAAATGTTCTAACGGTTAGAAGGAAAGCCTCCCCTGTCTCTATCTGTCAGGTAGCTATGCAGGACAATGGAAAAGGGAGTCCTTCCAGAAGGAAGTGAGGGGCCAGCTAGTTTCTTGAACAAAGGACTCCCTCCACAGCCAGGCCGGAGAGTCCTTGCTCTCTTTGCCCAGCAGCATGATACAACTAATATGAACCTGAGATCACTATCTAGCGGTTGTCCTTCTTTCCTTCTTCCAAATGGAAGTTTTATTGCAGCAATAGTGTTTTCTCTCTACCACTGTGAATTGCCAGTGCTACATTTATCCTTTAGCCAGAGGTTGCCAAACCATGATGAGCTACATTAAGACCCAACCAAAAAATAAAAAGAGTCATAACTCAGAGATTCTGGAATTAAAGTTGAAAGCAGTAACCAGAGAAGCCTGAGAATAGTCTTCCTTTAGGAGGAAGGACAGTTTTCCTTGTGGAGGTATATTTGCATTATATTAGCAAGGGCCATTTTAGGAATTTTATAAATGGGAAAGAAGGTACATATGGATGCTGGGCAACCAAGGGAAAATGAGAAATGTGGTTAACTTGTGTTTTGTTCAGCCCAGAATCTCTTCAGGAACCATAGGCCAAGTGGTTTTGGGTTGGGACAATCCTACCTCCTGGCTCTAGGAATGGGCACATCACTACAGCCTGGAAAATGAAGTACTGGATTTCCTTAGTCACAGTAACTAAGTCCAGGGATGGTCACATGACCAATGGCAAGCCAATAAAAGCTCTCCCTGGAACTTTTGTTGGAGTTATTGAAAAATATATATATATTTTTTTACTAGAAATGTCAGCTGCCAGTACCATGTAAATTCAGAACTGCTGCTAATAATTTTTGCCACATTGTGGGGAGACCCTGCCTAATAATGGAGCCAACACCTAGGTTAGTAAGTAAACAGATGAACAAAGCTGTCTTATTTTGAGATCCTGGATCTAGTCCTTCCTAAAGCTAGACCAATAGTCCTGTTTTTCCACATTATTTGAGTCAATGGATACATTTTTGAGCTTATATGAGACTGCAACGGGCTTCTGTCACTTTTAACAAAAAATCCTAACAAACATAGCTAACTAAAGTGATTTTTATTTAATTTTAATACTTTCAAAGAGAAATAATTGAACTGTCACCTAAAATTTTTTTCTATTTAAAAACTGATGTCTTGCTGGAGTCCTATATGCGTTTGTTTCTTTAACAAATATAGCATCTCAGTACAGATTTAAAAATCTGTGGGGGGAGGGGAATCACTAACCTGAGGTGGCATTAAAAGGTAGCTAATCCTCCTGGACAAAGTGATGAGAGCCAATATCATTCACTATTTATTATTTATATCCTACTTATTTTTTTAAAAAGTTTTGTGTCTCCTTTCAGCAAAAGGCATTATACAATAAAACCACAAATTAAAAATTTAAAGATTCAAATAATAAAGTGAGGGAGGAGAAAGTTGAATTGAAAATCACAGATTGAGGTCTCTCTACTAGAGTCAAGTACAAAACCTGTCTCTGAATTTCTGAAAAGGCAAAGTGAAATGGATATCAAAAAGTTCTTAACTGCAGGAAATACTTCATCAGGAGAGATGATCTTGTTTCTAGCACTCAGGTCTAAAAATATCTTATTACCTAGCTCTTCATACACGAGCACCATGTAATAAAATGGAAAGTCTTTAGTAGAAGCTCCACAAAAGATATAGAAATGGTCTTTTTATGGCTCTTTTAGAAAAATTTGACCCTTAATTAAAGCTCAGAGGCCCTTGTTAAATTGTAAATCTATGAAGGCAATTTGGAAGCGAGTTTTGAAATAAGGAAGCACACACATGCTATTTTTAGTCAGGTGGTTTGATATTTGAGCAGATCTTGGAGAGTGTATTCTAGAAGAAAGGCAAGTGTGGCATGTCCCTTAAGACATTACAACAAATATAAGTTGACTCATAAAAGCTTGTAATAAAAGTTGTACAGCAAATTGCTGGAAACTAAAGACTAAGATTGATTATAGAAAATCAGGTCCTTAAAGCAGATTACTGACTAAAATGTACACTAAAAACTCTATAGGTGAGAAAAATTTTACAATAAAAATGAAAGTCTTACTTACAAGATTGGGAGTAATAAGTACTGTCAAAAAGGCATAACAAAGCTTTCAGGAATAACAGAGTCTTAGAGAAGTGTTAGAGTCCTTAGAGCAAAGAAAGTGTTTTTTTTAATTTTTTTTATTTAATACTTGTTTTCACTCTTTAACCATTCCTTCAGCCCAGGTACTTTTTTTTTTAAGACAACGTCTCACGTGTCACCCTGGGTAGAGTGCAGTGGTGTCATCGTAGTTCACTGCAACCTCAAACTCCTAGGCTCAAGTGATCTTCCTGCCTCAGCTTCCCAAGTAGCTGGGACTACAGACATGTACCACCATGGCTGGATAATTTTTTTATTTTCATTTTTTGTAGAAATAAGGTCTCACTGTTGCCCTGGCTGGTCTCGAACTCCTGGCCTCAAACTTCCTGCCGTGGCCTCCCAAAGTATTGGGATTACAAGTGTGAGCCATGTATGTTCTTCTATAGAATAGATCTAAATTACTGTAACCCCATCCCCCTTAGTAAGAGCTTATAGGCAGATTTTAGTTTAATTTGAGATCTGTTTTGTTTATTAATAACAACCAACACAGTGCTGTGCTAATTAATATGTTCTTCCATTAATAATGAAGACCCAACTAATCCAGTGCCAACAACTTTATTCATGTAAATTGATAAGGAAGATAATTTTGAAAATGAAAAAGACATTGATAATGAAGAATAGCTTTGTAGCTTGAAAGAAAAATATTTTAATCACTAATAAAAATATCTAGAAATATACCTGAGAAAGAAAAGTCAGACTCTAACCTGTCACTTGTAGCTTGTCATTCATTTAATTAAGCCATTGATATTTAAGGAAAATACCCATTACACATATTGTCTCTGACATCACGAAAGACGGTACGATTAAATGACCAGTTGGGAAAGGACCTTGACATTCAGGCAAAAAAATCTGACTTTGGGCCGGGCGCGGTGGCTCACGCCTGTAATCCTAGCACTCTGGGAGGCCGAGGCGGGCGGATTGCTCGAGGTCAGGAGTTCAAAACCAGCCTGAGCAAGACCCCGTCTCTACCAAAATATAGAAAGAAATTAATTGACTAACTAAAAATATATATACAAAAAAAATTAGCCGGGCATGGTGGCGCATGCCTGTAGTCCCAGCTACTAGGGAGGCTGAGGCAGTAGGATCGCTGAGCCCAGGAGATTGAGGTTGCTGTGAGCCAGGCTGACGCCACGGCACTCAATCTAGCCTGGGCAAGAAAGTGAGACTCTGTCTCAAAAAAAAAAAAAAAAAAAAAATCTGACTTTGATTCAACACATGTTCACAAAGGGTAACTAAGAAAACAGAGACAGTGTCTGGGGAGAACTATAGAGGTCTCAGCTTAATAATCTAAACTGGGGACATGTCTGGCTTATGGGAAGGATGGCCAGGTAGGCTCAGCAGGGTCAGTTGGCTGGAGGGATATAAGTATAAGCAGGGAAATAGCTCATCCAAAGGAAGGACACAATGGGCCATTGCTGGTGGTATGCTGCAATTGGAGGAACAGAGTGGAGCTTGTTTAGTTTCCCTAGCTTTGCCTTAGTTTCTGCGGACTGCTCAGGAAGAACAGACTACAATAAAAAGTGAGAAGTGAAAGGAGCAGTTTCCTTAAAGACTCTGTTGAGGGCAGTGTTTAACAGCAGGTGCAACAATGGACGCTGGAGGCAGAGTAGGGCAAAGGGCACTTTCCTACTCTGGGGTTACACTTACACCTGCACATTGGAACGGCCGTGAGCTGGAGCTGGACCAGACAAGGAGAGAGCAGAACACCAGGGCAGCTTCAGTATCTTTGGAAAGTCTTAGCTGCTCCACAATATGGACAGTATTGTTGACATCATGGATTCCAAACTGGATCATAAAGAAAGCAAAACAAAGGTGCCTGCCACAATGTAACCAACAAATCCAAGTCCCACACCTAGGTGAACCCCTGTCCTCCAAGCCCCACTCCCTCCAAGATTTCTGAAGAGAAAAGGCCTGAGACTCCTAGAACTGGTGAGCAGAAATTGTAGGAGACAAAGTTATAATAAATGGGAACAGAGCCTTAAAAAAGAGTGTGTTGTTACAATTATTGCCTCCAGGTTGCGTGAAAGATGTATTATAGAAGAGGAGATGATACAGCCGTAGAGGCCAGAGCACTAGAAGCTGGTTGTGTTAAACATCAGCTGTGTGCCCTTGGTCAAGTCATTCAAATGTTCTGGCTTCAGTTCTTGCACCAAAAAAGTGGAATCTTTCAAATACCCTGACAAGGTCACGAGGAAGCTGAAATGTGTGAAAAAAAAAAAACCCTCTACTTCAATAAAGTGTGATTATTATAATTACATGGAATAATGCCGAACAGGCTATTTATAAAAGCTTTTGAGTGCACTGATTTATAGGATTTGCTGTCAAGTAATTCACCTGTCTTCTGGTGTGAAAATGTTTTTGTGTCTTCCTAAGCCATTCCCCAAGAAAGCAATTTTTTCTCACATACACTATTGTCTCAGCGGAACGTAGAGCGGCTTGAAATGACTGATTTTAGGAGCATCCGTGTATGTCTGTGTACTCCAAGGAGACGCGGCCAGGAAAATGCAGTGAAAGCTGGCACAGGAGAAACGGAGGGCAGAAAAGGGCACTAGAAAGTGGGGACCATAAAAATCATGGCCTTATTTTAACATCTCTCAGAATGTAAGAGAGTCAGTATGTGAGCTCATTGGTAGTGATGGTTCTACCGGGAAATCTTAACTTTAAATTGCCTGCCAATCTCTGTTTTGTGTGTCCAAGAAGAGCCATTTATCACTTTTATGAAGCCACTGAAAGCCCACATTGAGGGAAAAAGACTAATTATTGAGCAGTACATGTCCTCACACTAAATACATAATGAAAGCAATGGGCTGAAGGCTCTAAAGAAGGGTGATAAATGTTTTGATAAAAAAATCTAAGATACCCCCATCAGTAAGGAAGCCCTCCCTTCACTAAGTCAGTCACTCACATAGGGGAGGAAGTTTTCCCATTTTCTAGGATGATGGATTTTCATGATATCTCATCTCCATAGAATAGCCTTTCTTCAGCCAATGACAATAACCCATGTATGTACCAGGTATGTATATGAGTTTCACTGTTAGAAAGCATTATATATACGTGTGTGTGTGTGTGTGTGTGTGTGTGTGTGTGTGTGTGTGTATAGTTACTTTATGGCAGAAAGCAGATGCTTCAGGATGTCTGCTTTTGCCTCTAGGATCATACATTCATGGGGGTTTAGAGTCATCTCCTTTGGTGTTCATCTTTACTTCTGTCTGTCCTTGCAACAAGGAAAGAACTGTTTTTCTTGCTTACCTTAACAAAACAAAGGTCACTTTTGAATGAACACAACGTTCTACCTTTAATTCAAAGTAAAAACAGATCCCCCTACATCCATCTGAAGCCTACTCAGTAAATTCTGTTCTGGTCAAATAAATCTTCCTTAAGCAGTCTAGTTCTTGGGAATCACTATCCAAAGTTTGTGCAATTTACTTAATTTTCTCTCATTATTTTCTTAATGTTCTGGCTTAGGTTCTATAAGATTATTTATTTATTTGGAAATAAATAAATTACAGCATTTGTCCTCATAATGTCATCACCCTACGGTGATGCTTATAGAGCTGCTCTATCCACCAGTCACATGTGGCTCCTGAGCACTTGAAATGTGGCTAGTCCAAATTGAGATATGCTATAAGTATAAAATACACACAGATTTTGAGGACTTAGAACCCCCCAAAGAAAGTAAATATATCATTAATAATTTTTGTGTACAGATTACATTTCAAAATGATAACATTTTGGATATATTGGTTGCTATAAAATATGTTATTAAAATTAATTCATTTTACCTGTTCCTTTTCCTTTTTTATTTTCAATAGCTGCTAGAAAATTTTAAATTACATCTGTGGCTCACATTATGCTTCTATAGGCAGTGCTGACCTTGAGCTTTCAACTTTGCACCATAGATCTTCACAAAGAACCCCCCACCTCACATTTAAACCCAAATCTCCTGACTTCTTTTCTGTTCCTAATAGGGAATAATATTACCATTGAACTAGCTAAAACCCAATTCCTTTCAATTACCTCTACTTTAGCCAAAGAAAAGTTCCTTAGCTCACATGTGTTGAGGGTTAGATGTAGGACCTGGATGCCACTCATACTGCATGCAATGCTGGTCCTGAAGCTATTCCATTAGGAATAATAATAATAATAAAAAAAAACAACCTGTTTTCCTTATTCCTGAAATAATGTCTGGAGAATTAAAGTAGGCAAAACAAGGGCAAAATATTCACAGATATTTCTACTTGTCTTGGAAGGCAGAATTGACTTCCTGGAAAATTACATCCAGCAAGACAGTTCTACATGGTGTGAAACAAATTTAGCCCTGATATTATTCAAGGGAGTACATAAAAGTTCCTCTGAGAATGTGGAGTTAATAAAAATGGATGGTAAAACCAGTTGTGTTTTTCTTGAAGGAAGTTCATAGGCAGTATCAACCCAGCCCAAGGGAGCAGTGGGGCTGGATAGTTTCTAAGTGTTTGACATCAACAGCTAAACTTATTCCCTCAATTGTGGTTTGCCATTATTTTTACACTTCTGATACTTTTACGGACAAATCAATCCACACACAGACACATTTATAAGAAACCATTGTCGGTCCCTGATGTGTGCAAACCTTACTCACAATGACCAGAATATATCCTGAATCGCCAGCTCTGTGGCTGTGCCCTCCCTCCCTACAGGCTTCTCCCTGCCACACTTTCTTTCTCTGTCCTTAAGGTCTGCTTCTGGGAGTCATTGTTTAAAAACCAAACTAACAAAAACACTTGAAGCTTTTAGAGAATCAAGGGCATTAGAAGTAGGGGGATTAAAAGGCTGTGAAAAAGCAAGAACAACTTCTTGGCCAGCCTGTGTTATGTCCCTGCTTCTGAAACAGTTTCTGGTGTATTGCTGGATTTGCTTTTATTTCACTGTGCTACACTATAAGAATTAGCCCCACCACAGACTCATTTGGATTAAAAGAGAATCTTTTAAAAATGCAAATATTTCTGAGAGTGCTAAAGGGCTTTTGGTAATTTACACGTTAGTGTGGGTTTATTCAATCCAATTGCTTTTCAGCTTTGGACTCACTGCTTGTCTTCTTCAGCAAAAAAGACAGAAGTCCAATATCACAAAGAAAGGATTAGATAGCTGCCTACATGTTGCTACTCCTTAAATCCACCAAAATAACATGTTAGCCACTAAAAATGATGTGTCAAACTGCCTTTCAATTTTCCTCCAGCAAAATGATTTGAAAACTAGGAAGACTAAGGAGATTTTCACTACCGGACAGTGGGAGGTGGGATGGTCCTGTGGTCTTCACTGTGGGGAAGGAAATTTCCTCTTTGGTGACAGCTGTTTGGGAGGATGACTAAGCAGAGCAGAGGCAAGTGACCAGTGACCACAGCTCACTAACTCACCTGTTGCACTCACTCTGCAGGAACAGATGTGTTATCACTAAATAACCTGAACTTCAGGATGCTGACACTGACGGCCAGAATTCACAGGCAGGTCTGCACTCTGCATATCTTGACGGAGGCTTTTCTGGATGTTTTTAAAGTCTGTAGATCCCTGCTACTTGTTCATGGACCAAATCTGTTTCTATCACCTGGTCAGATCCTGCCCCTGAGTCAGGCCATCTCAGTGGATCCTGTCTTCCACAGCTCACCTAAGGTCATGGTACATGTTGCCAAAGATTCTCTGCTTGACCAAACTTTAGTCAGGTTCCTGAACCTTCTCCTAGGCCCATCTGATCACTTCGTTGTAAAATCCAGTTTTAGCAAGAACTCTGCTAAGTCAGTTTAATGAGAACCCCCCTATCCTTGATATCTGATCACCCTCGATACCTGATCAGTTTCCTCATCTGCCATCATCCCCAGGGTGATGTCTGATCCCCCAGGCCTGCCTTCAGCAAGAATCCTATTACATAAGCTTAACCAGAATCCCCCTTCCCACTGGTGTTTCCTCTTAGCAATTTTCCATACACTGACCCCTGCCTGCTCTATAAATTCCCCCTTGCCCATGCTGCTTCCAGAGTTGAGCCCAATCTCTCCCCCACTGCAAAATCCCATTGCAGTGGTCCCTATATTTATCTTGAAGTGCTTTAACAAGTGTTATTAAATAATTTTTCCTTTAACAGTGCCCAATCAAGAAAAGCCACAGAAAACATCCTTGATGGCTAAAATGTTCTTAATCCCTGTTCCAAATCCATAACACAGAAAATAAATCATGGAGAGACCTTGAAACTTTAGGAAATCATTATTTCTCCAATCTTCTTGTAAGAGATGATGCATTAGTAATACTTCTAAGCCCTACATCCCGGCAACCCAACACAAAAACAGCAACTCTTGGAAGGTTCTACACAGAGTAGGCACTCAATAAATATTTGCAGACTGGCTTGTTCAATGTGGTTTTTTAAGCACTGCAAGATGTATATCCTGCTTTACTTATAAATGTGTATTTTATCTAAATACCCTCTTACCAATGATATCCCATCATTTTTCAGCTGCCATCTGGCACATAACTTCTGGCACAGGTATGTGCTGCACAGGTCTGCAGAGTGTAGAATTTATTACAATAAGTGATGCTGCTATCCATTCAAGACACAGAGGAAACTTGTGTAATCAGTAAAGGCCATAAGACAAATGAAAGCCTTGAATCTTTCAGAGATGACATGTTTAAACATAGTTTTTATTAATTAAGAGGAAAAATATGTCTGCTTGGTAGCTAGGGTGATTGCATGGGTAGATACATCTCGTTGGGGCTTAAAGAATGCAGTGGCTACATGGGGCTTGTGACTGCATATTTTCA